GCCCTAGCATAGGAAATTCTTGTAGAATGAACGACTGAGATTCTTAATGACCAAGTACAATTTCCTAGGCTTACTCATATTTTCATTCAATGTAGAAAGATGTTATGCTGTTTCTTTGGATGATTTGTTTTATTTGTGTGTGTGTGTGTATGTGTATGTTTCTTTTAATTTTGTGAAGCTGTCCAGAGTGATTTTTAGTGCTGAGTAGTCTAGACATTCCATAAATCCACAAATAACATTTTATTTCTATTAAAAAAAATTGAACCTAATATACTTGAAGTTTCCACATCTTTTATAGAAATGAATTTTAATGCAAGAATTCTGGACTAATTGATGGAAAAGTATTTTTGGAAAAGGGTACTGGGTTAAAGAAGTCTATTCCTTTTCTCATATATTACATTCTGCCTTCAGTACTGCTGCGGTAGTGAAATGATCACAGGAATTACAAAATTTATTGAACCTGCATGTAATTTTACTTTCCACCCTGATCTTCTCCACCATATTTTTTTTCCTACTTTTCTTCTATCAATACTTTTAATTTATCCTTCAAACATTCCAGTTCAGGAGAAAGATACCATCACCATTTTATCCTTGTTACTACCACCAATACAACATATTCTTTTCACTCTGATTTATCAAATAATTCTGAAGGGAGGTTCAGTTAAAATTGCATTGTGCATAAAAAAAAAGTTCAACATACCAATATATGAATCTATAAAGAAAGATATACAGCTAGTTCCTTTAGAACTAGCTAGCACTTTGACAGCCTTTTAAAAGTTATGGTTTGTTCAAAGGAATGGGGTGCCAATAGATACATGGATATGTTAAAAAAGAAGAAGAAGAGTGAAATGGGTGATGGGAGCTGTGGATATAAGTTAGTAAGATTTTCTTTATCTAATAATAATGTAGCAGATCAAGGATAAGTTTCAGATACCTGGAGACAAAGATAACATGTCAAGTAATTAAAACAAAATGTGATTAAAAAAAAATACTGTTAATAACAATGGAATCATGCTAGAATGAGGAAACATCTGATGAGGAAGAAAAATTTCACAGGAACTGTTTATAACTAAAATGATTATATCAGTAAACATACAAAAATTATAATCACAAAAACATTAATATAGATTAAAGAGGTAAGTTCTTTTCAATCCATGATTCCCTTGCTCCCTTCCCAAATATTTCCATTAAATATATCTGCCAGAAATATTTTTTTTTCTTTTTGCTTCCTGTAAAAATATTTACATGAAATCATCAATTAGTTCATTAGACGGATTCCTTGTGAAGGTTATTGCATTAGAAATCATGTAAATCTGAGAAGTTATGCCACCAATAACCAGATCTTCTGAAAGATATTTCTTGTGACTAATAAGGAATGGGTCCCTCACAGTACATTTACCAAGAATAATATAGCATTTGGTATGAGGGAATAACATTAAAACATTGGCAAGGAATAAAATCATTGTGTACAACAACCCTTCCTTTGGTTGAAACATTTTGTGAAGAATAAGATTGAAAGAGTTTCATCCTGCACGGAGAAGAGATAATCTATTTTATAGTTTTAATTCATCTGTTTCTTGAATCTCCTTAGGGACTTGGAGATGATAGTAATGGAGAATTTGATAATGATAGGGCAAATCACCCCATGCTTGGGGAAACCTTTGGTATGCTGTGGCTGAGGAATATGTCATTTTTTTAAAAAAATCAGCTGTATCCAATTTTGTAATGGCATGATAGTTGAAGCCTGTAATTAAAGGCAAAATATTCAAGCCTGGAAAAAAAAATCAGAAAAGTAAAAAGTTCAGCTCCTGTTCTAATTTGCAAAGGTGACATCTCAAAAAGGAGAATGAAGAAATACTAGAATGGTCCAAATTTTCCAGTTGAGAAAATGTCTAATTACAAATGGAAATGTCTACCACCGTAGTAGTATATACCAAATTTGACAGAAGCTTATCTGTTTGTTTAATCAGTGATGTTGTGGAATCTAAATGCAGGACACAAATGCAGAATAATCAAGGCTTCATTGCAGTATTTATTGAGCAGTATGTACTGGAGGGGGACCCCACCAGAAGTTAGTGGGAGGCACTCCCCTGCAGGCAAAATGGATGCTCTGATATTTATACAGTTCTACAAGAAGGGGAAGGGAAAAAGAACGTACACAGGTACATACTCATAAGATGATGCAGGCATACCTAAATAAGCAATAGTTCTCAAGTTACTCTCTGCCCCTCCATTATCTGTTATCTGCTAGTAAAACAATAGCATCACAGAAAAAAGAAATTAGTTCAAGGTGCCAGATGCCAGGAAGAAAGCATCCTCTCTCAGGGCAGATGCCTAGGTTGCTATGGGAATGTTTGTGATAAGGAGTTTACAACCAGCCTGGTTCACATCACCTTCAAGGATGCTTCCACATTCCTTTATGTTTCAATCTAATTAAGGTGATCCCATTCATCTGAGGCCTCTAAAAACTTGTCTTTTCCACCCAAAGATTCACCCAAAGATATATTTTTCTCACAATGCCATCAAAGAAGCACCACATGATGCAGATGTCACCAGGTTATGACCCTAACTAGATATGATGTGCATACCCCCTCCCCCCATGATGCTGGAGTCACAAGGTCATGACTCCTATCAGACATGGTGTGTTCAACCTAATCCCATCAAGAAAAGGGCGACAGCCCTAAACTGTGTAACCAGCTAACCTAAGCAAACCTAGCCATATGTCTCAATTCATATAATTAACAGAATCCTAGGTTGCACTGTATTTGGGAAGCAAATCCTCTTTGTCCATTGTGAAATAAGTCATAGCCTAATGATGCTTTTAATTTTGTGACGTTTTAAAATCAGCACCTTGAATGCAGGAAAAGGAAATCCTAAAATTCACCCACAGACTGCATTTGCCCCCTTTTCTAAAAAGGCTTTATTTCTACACAGTTTTAAAATCACTCCCTCAAATGCAAAAAAAAAAAAAAAAAAAAAAGAACTGTTTAAACCACAGTAGCCCCAGAGTGATTAACCTAACCCTAACCTCCCAACCCTAATCCTAATTAAAAAGGCTTTATTTCTACACAGTTTTAAAATCACTCCCTCAAATGCAAAAAAAAAAAAAAAAAAGAACTGTTTAAACCACAGTAGCCCCAGAGTGATTAACCTAACCCTAACCTCCCAACCCTAATCCTAATATGGATTCAAATAAGGCCTAAGTGAAGTGAAAGCCACAGACAGAGCTTTACCTTTTGTAAAAGTTAAAGAAACATCATTTGCAAATTTTAACCTGAAATACACATTCACAGACATGCACACACACACGTTTGAAAATTTAACTGATAACCCAAATATGCACATACATAAACATTTTGAGGCATGACCTTAATAAAATTTTATTCCACCCCCTCCAGCAAAGCCAGGAATATTTAACTGAGAACCAGATACTCACAGAGATGCAAGAATCAACCAAGCAGCAAGTATCCAACATTTATTTATTTATTTATTTATTTATTTATTTATTTATTTATTTATTTATTTTTCAGATTT